TTGTAATTGTATTTGAAAGGAAAATTTCTTACTGTAAAATTTAAATATCTATTAATCAAATATGTATTTTTAGTAGGAGGGAAATGATATTGAACATTTTAAGTTCCAGCTTTAGTTATCTTTCTGTCCATTTATCCACCTACCTACTTATCATTTATCTATCTGTCTAGGTATGTGTTGGTCTTTTGAATATCTCCTCATCTCAGCTCTTGTGTCATGTACAGGTATACTTATTTTTACCTATGTCTTGTCTTCTTTGATTGTAGACTCTAATAGATGATTACCTAATCTTCCATACAATTTATCACTGAAGTCTCCCACAAGATTCTATCCCGTATGTCAACACTAGGTAACATTTATAGAGCCATTCATTACTCACTGCAAGTGGGTGTCATTAGTTACAGTTTTGCCTCTTGTCACCGAAATCCTGCTGAGGTAGGTAGCCTTATTTCTGTGTCACTCTCCAAGGTTATAGGGCACACCTTGACCAATGTCCTGAAGCAATTTGTGGCTCCAGGGACAGTCCCGCGACCCTGGAGAATGAGAGGCCTTGGAACAGATGAGTGTTGGGGAAAGGGAGGGGCAGAGTGAAGACCATTGTAAGATTTAGAACACAAGTGATCAGGGAAGGACAGTGTCACTGATAGTCACAATAAAGGTGCCAGGGACTATTCATGAGTGGTGGTAACTGTCACTCTGCTTTGTTAGCATCCTAAGGTGCTCATCATGGGCCAGGCACTGTGTGGCTCCTATGCTAATAAACATCTTCATTTAATTCTTACACCAGTCGTTTTTTTTTTTTTTGGAGACAGGGTCTCACTATGTAGTTGAGACTGATCTGGAACTCACTATGTAGTCCAGGTTGGTCTCAAACTCACAGCAATCCTCCTGCCTCAGCCTTCTGAGTGCTGGGATTATAGGCAAGTGCCACCACCATGCCCAGCCTACTTACACCAGTCTTATGAGTAAAATAATGATTTCAGGCATGGACATGTTGCTTTTGATATGGCTCTGAGACAAGCCAGGAAAAATGGCCAGCAATGAGGAAGACAAGGTCTGAGCAGGAATAAACATATGACAGTCCTTCAAATCCATGCTCAGAATAGGAGTTGTAGGGAGAAAAAAGGAAGAAATAGGCAAAGATGCCCAGCAGCAAGGGCCCAGATCAGACACCTACGTAGGCAGAAGGCTGGAGAAGAGGTGCTAGCAGGGTCAAAGGAAAGCGAAGTTATGAAGTAAAGATCAGACCTCATGAAACCAAAGTCTTTGTTCTCCAATACAGTGACATTAACATTGTGGTAGGGAAGGCAAATAGGGATTTTTCAGGCACAGAGTTTCCATTTCTGGATGTAGAGAAAAAACCTTGTAAGGTGGGGAGGGAGGAAGCAGAGGAGAGGGAGAGCAGACCTCGGGGAGTCTGAGGGCAAAGCATCTCTGAAAGTAATTGTCCTTGACCATGGAGGTTACAAATCACAGAATATATTTCCAGGAAATGTGGGGAAATCTTTTGTGGCTGGAAAAGGAAGTTACACAGATTTGAAATCGCTGAGTTATGAGAACATGTGGAAATTACAGGGGAGGTGGCAGTTCAATGCTCTGCCTCTTGGATATGTGAATTCATAAATTTCAAGATCAAATAGTCCTGGCAACATGCTCAGAGTGGTATATTTCATTACATTTTTCTTTAGCAACATTCTTTTTTATTTTTTTGGATTCAGTCCCCCCAAGATTAGATTGGGGTTCATAGAATTACTAAAGAAATAAATACTTAGCCAACATATTTGGTAGTTTATTATAATGAAATAGGGAAACAATCCAATGCTAATTATCTCTTTGGGGCTGAGAGGACCAGCACATCCCCAAATTCTCTTTCTGTTGTGAATGAACGAAAACCTGCTCAATTGGTCTCTTGGAGAGCATCATTTTGTTCTGGTCACAGTTAGAATTCAGGGTCACCCAAAGTGGACCCCTCTGGAAGTCAACTCCAAACTAAGTTCAAGCTGAAGAGGACGAATCCCAGGAGGCAAGAGAGCAGTGGGAATCTTGTACTGCAACCTGTGGAAATCAATTTTGAGAGGAATCAATTGGAAAGGGCCCAAAAGTCTAATGTCTGCAACTTTACTGATGACCAAGAAAGACAGAGTGCAGAAAGGAGAGGAAGGACGGGGAAGGAATTGATAGATGGGAGGAAGCAGAAGAAAGGACTCCGAGGACACTGAAAGCAAAATTGAGTGTGTCTGAGTCTCGGCAGTCAGGCTAATTCCTACCAGCCAAGAGGCCAGCACATCTAGCGTTTAGGACTAATTTTAGTAGCGCCAAATACTTGGACACCGATGTCTTCACAAATAGGCTATTTGGGTGAGAGAAGCAGCTACTTCCTAAAAAAGCAAAAGCTATCCTCTGCAGTAGAATAAGCATGGCACTAGAGCAACCGGAGTTTGTAACCCCTGGATGCTGGTCTAATCTGCTTTTTGCTTCACAGGAAGAAAGCACATAGCTCTGAGCATCCAGGAATAACCCTTGAGGTGCCTGAGAACTTTCTGCTTTGGGAAAGACACACAGATGGAAATTTTAAAATTTCAGACACAAACATATGAAAGGAGAAAGGAAGAAGGGAGAGAAAGGGAATAAGAGGGAAAGGGGAGTGAAGAACAAAAGGATTGAAACTAAGTTCTGGGAGATCAAAAGTAAAGACCCAGGTCACAGGGATACTGTGAACTCTCTTCCAGAGAAAGGATAGCTGGGTCCCTGCATTGCAAGGGGATGTGTAACTTACATGCCAAATCTCTATCATATGGCCTTATTTGTTGTTAAGCCCAATTCATATTAAGAAATAATCTCACAATCCAACATAGATTTGATAAGTCTCTGATTCCATACTTTTTCAACATGCTTAAAATATGTACTACATTTTTTGCAGCGGGTACCGGGGATTGAACTCGGGCCCTGTGCTTGTGAGGCAGGCAGCAGAATCACTGAGCCAAATCCCTACCCCTGTACTACATTTAAAATTCATTTTTATTTGCAATTCTTTTAACAATACTTTTAAATTATGACAAGCTTATGCAGTTTTCAACTTTGAATATAAAAATTTAAAACTGATCATTGAAAAAAGTCATCATATTAAGTAATATGAAGTTTAAACAACACTTTGATTCCTCAGCTAAACTCCCAGGTATCTAGGAAGGGCACAGGCTGTCCAAGTTTCCCACACAATCTCTAGATTCCTCTTCAAAACTACCTGTTTCAGCCCCTGGAAAAATCTGTCTTCTCAATGGCTTTCCACACTTGATGAGATAATTAAAGGAACCTAAGGTGAGTGATGGTAAAGTTACTAATTCTAACCCTAACTCTTTACAGGTTACCCCAGAAGGTTTAAATCAGCCTTTGAAAACAAATTTAAAGCAAAGCTAAAATTTTTCCCTCTAAGCATTTAGAAGTCTGATACTTTCACCAACCCTCCAATCTAATAAAATTCTCATGAAAATGATTAAAACACAAATTATGCTTCTATAAATTATATTTATAAAAATATAGTGTCCAATTAAAACTTTTTATAGACTTTCACCAATATAAAATGAATACTCTAAAAATTCATTGAAGTTGCATGCCAACGTTTGATATTTATTTTATATTTTTTGTTATAAATATTCATTTTGATTAAGAGCTTTAAATGTATCAGGCATCTTACAATTTTTAAATCAGGAAACCCAGTTACTATTTATTAAGTGTTTTTTTTAAGACTTTTTATCTCCTACAGGCTTTAGGGTCAGATTTATGAATTACAGAATAATAAGTCTTGGGCACTTGGAAAAATGGTGATCCCAGGAGTGCAGAAGAGTGTCCAGTGTTTTCTATGCTGATCTGGTGACAGCTACACTATAGAGAGTTACAGATGTCTGCACCTGTCCAGTGCCTCACAAATGCTTCCCTCTGCTGCTCTGGGGGCAAGGAGGCATAACGACCCAGCATGTATAAACTCATACTAACAAAATATACTTTCATCAAGTCTAAATTGAGCTCCAAATGAATATACATGCTGGAAAAAACTAGCTTTGTATACTATAGTAAAAATTGTATTTCAAATGAAAGAGGCGCCTCAATTCACACATATCTTGAGACATCCGTCTCAAAGTTTAAATGTTTCAAACCAAGGCAACGGACATTTTTATAGTTGATAACAAACTACAAATTTGTCTGGGGGAAGAAATCATAAAATGTTTGACAAAAGAGCTGTGATAAGAGATAAAGAACACAGTATTTTCTGTCTAAATTCCTAGAGGGGGAGATACAGCTTGTCCCCGAGCCTACATTTCCAGCTATGTGTGCTATGATTACAGTTATAGACAAAGGATACTGTGTCGGCATGCAGAAAAACAAACAATAGGTCTTTTTCTGAATGTATCTGTAGGAAGAACATACAAATGAGTCAACAAGGGAACTGAAATGATCCTTGTATTCTTTGTAAAAATAATACTTTAAGGTTCCTTTGCAAGAATGTCGGTATTCTTTCCCCCTGTGCATCTTATTTTCCTTCATTCACTATAGAATTTTTTCCCAACTTGCACCTGGTTTGACCAGCAGTCAGCTGGCTTCTGAGGATTCTCCTCATTTTATTCCCCTCATCCCCCAGAGACTCTGGACAGCTGCACAATTGTGCTCTCTTTAGTTATAAATGCAAGCTTGTGACATCCTCTGCTTGATTCAGTTAAATACGGAATTAATTGAAATCAATTCAACAATTCCCCAGTGCTCACTTGCTGAAGGCAGTCCTGCCCTGGCATCAGGGAAGGAGAGAGAAACAGAGGGAGGGAGAGGGAAAGAGAAGAGAGTCCTCAGGAAGCTCACAATCTACCTTGAGGGAGTAAGATACAGCATGTATATTCATTTGGAGCTCAGTTTAGACTTGATGAACATGTATTGTGCTAGTATGTGTTTATACATGCAAGGCAGACTGTGCTTCTTACCATAGGAGATGATTACTGATAATTTTATTAGTTTGCAGGAAAAGAGATGGATGGAAATGTCACAGAATTAGAAAATCTTGAACAACTTTGAGGTGAAAGGATTTTGCTGCTGGAGGTGGGAGATGGACAGTAGGAGCAAAGATACTGAATCCACAGATAAGTCATCTAGATTAAATAGCCCAAAATGCCCATCTGAGAGGAATGGGAGACACAGAGAGAATGAGATGTTCTTCTAGATGGATCCATAAAACCCTCGACGGTGGAGAAGCCTTACAAATGACCTACATGAGTGCCTTCACTATAGAGAGGAGAGTTCAGGCCACAGAGGGGCAGTGAAACCTGCAGATGATGGTGGAGAAAGTGGCCCACATCAAACTAATGTAGAGAGAAGCAGAAGTCCAGAGGAGCGGATACAAGGTCGGATGAGGGCACCACGGCAGGGAGGGAAACTGTGAGGTCAGATGACATAGAGATTTGATGTCAAGGTGAGAAGTTTGATTCGGAGCCTGGAAGGGCATTTGGCTGGAGGATCGGTGGGGTATTTTTTTTTTTTTCAATTTTGAAATACTAGTGTCTACCAGGTATTTTATACAGGTCGCTTGCCCTTTGCACTAAGGGTTAATTAATAATCAATTTTCTGACTTGAAGCAGAGTAGCATTTTTTCCAAACCATTGAGGTGACGATATGTAAATAATATTTTGAATTTGAAATGTGATAAGTGCCAAGTGGGGGCTTTTGGATGGGGCTGTTCCTGAGAGATGGTATGGGACAGTTTGTGTGTGAAAGCATCCCAGGAGCACTAGAGAAACATCCTTGAAGGTACTGATGTGTCCGCAATTAACAAAAGACAGAATAAAACAGCAATAATCAGTGAAAGTAGATTAAGTTGGTTTTGATGATATCTTTGGGGTAGGCTGACAGAACATTTTAGCATAAGAGAAAGAATGCTGCTCTTTTGCCCAGTTCTAGTTCTGGGCTATACAACAAATTTTACTAAAGTTCTAAACTGAGGGATTCAATTGTTCTCATTAACTTAGATTGTCACATATATTTTTGACCTTTGATGTCCACTTAGAAGGAAAATAGAGAACAGATCATTTTCACCTTCTATGAAAAAGAAATCTGAATTTCATAAGCAAGCATGTTCTTTAAAGTCCCCTGGGCTGTTTGGTGGGCCCTTCAGATAATTTCTGGACAGACCTCTCACCTTCAGAGTCACTTCAGTGCATTGCCCCTTGCTGAAGATCCTGAGTCCTTCCTGCAGGGTCTGTCCAAGCACTCATATCCAGTACAAACCTTGGAAACAGCCCAATTGTCCCCTAACTTGTGCTTTCACTGTAGAAACCTTCCTTTCAAGGATTTGGTTCAAGGCATGGTGTTGCTGCATGAGCTCAACCTTATGGCTCCTGCTTATAAAGAACAGTTATAATTTAGAACTCAAGGATATACTCTTAAGTGAAATAAATAAGCCACACATGTGTAAATACTGAATAGTTTCTCTGGTGTGAAAAACTATAATAGTACACAAGACCCTAATGAGATAATTAATAATGTGAAATAGGAAGTAAAGGGCTAAAGGTGTAGGCAAAGTGGGGAGGGTGGGGGAAAGATAATAAGGGAGAGGAAAAAAATACGAGAAAATGAAAAAATGGAAATAAAGTGTTTGTAGATGGGGAGGGGAGGAGAGGGTGAAGGGAGGGCAGGTACAAGGGGAAAAAATGAGAACCAAGATCTGTCATGTAAAGGTACAGGATTCCAATAATGAATGTAACTGTACTGTAGACCTAGATTGTACCAATAAACTCAATAAAAAGAAAAAAAAAAGAACAGTCATACATGGAGGTGTTTGAGGACTTCAGGTTTAATGTTTATTCCTTCCTTTGAAATTCTATTTATATTATATTTAGGTAAGTTTCCTGCTCTTAATCAGCTACTAATGAGTCATTGCTGATAAGTCTCATAGATTAAGAACTTTCTGGTAGGATGGCCATGAACTGGTTTTCCTCATTTGCCAATTATTTGGAAGAGGACATCAATATAATGTGCTGGACCCTGTTGCATTATTAAGACCTACATTAGAAGCCCACTTTCTTCTACTGCATTGACATTGTCTACTTGGAATCTTTCTTATTTTTGTATTGTTAATTCTACTTCATATAGATGAATTATGCCACTTTGTAGCATTATCAAATATAACCTAAAAAAATAAGTGACAGATCACTTGGGAGCCTGACCATGACAGCATGAATTGAGAAGCAGCAAACAGCATGTCCTGGGGTGATCAGTACGTCAGCATTTACATAAACAGGGACAGTGAATGCAGGCCCTTGTCAGTCATGGGCACTGGGCTCATGGCACTGGGAGTAGCTGACTGTCTATTGAAGCTGAAGGTTGAGGGCTGTGTAAACACTTTCACAAAACTCACTTGTGTCTCTCCAACAAAACCCAAATGGAGGTAACTTGTTCAGGGGTATGGTGTAAAATTTCTTAATAGAAAGTGGGTAGAATGTGGTGCTCTTTCATGTAAAAGGGTGCATGAGAGAGACTATCGATCTGTAAATTAAACGCCAAAGGAAACATTTGCCACAAGAATAGTTGGCAATGACATTCAGCTTTTAAAGGCACTGGCTAATAAATGAGCAGGGCATGAAACATCTAGTTTACTTCTATTTTTCTTTATTATGCTGTGTAATAAACACCCAAGAAGTGGTGATAGATAATTCTCTTTTCTCTATTGTTCTATCAGAGATTCTTAAACCACAGTGCTAACAAACTGGCCAAATGTCCACTTATAGAATTGCACTGCTTAAATTGAGAATTAGTCATTGCATCTATTATGCATTTGTGAGCAAACCTCATATCAGCTCATCTCATGCCTGATTCCTCTCCAATAAAGTTATGTTAGACATGGAACTTAGCGGCATGGATGATGCCTCCTTTGATCGTACAAAGGAGCTTTGTACGTGAATTATAAATCTTCACTTGAATTTGTTTTAGTAAATTTTTTCTGAATATTATTCTATTTTCCTATGCCTGAATCATCTTTGGCATTTTTTTTCTCATTGTGTTTATTGGTACATTTTAGGTATACAGTACAGTTACATTCATTATTAGGATCTTGTACCTTTACATGACAGGTCTTGGTTCTCATTTTTTCCCCTTGTCCCTGCCCTCCCTTCACCCTCATCTTTGACATTTTTTATGATTATTCTCTCATGTCTTGTTAGGCTAAAAGGGTGTCTACTTTTGCAAGTGAAAAATACATGGGTTGCTTACAAGAAAAATGTAAAGATGGTTTTCAGGTTCTAGCATATATTCCTTAATCATTCTCAGTAAATACAAATGAATAAATAGCATTTGGAAAGCTCCTAAGCCCCTGCTTGCTCTATGTAAGGCAATCATTTCACATCACCGAGTGGTATCTGTATGGACAATGATGGCCATTTTTCAGATCCCAGACACAGTACAGCAACAACACGTGTACAAAGCTAGACGCAACTAGATTGCAATTGCAAGCACTAAGAGAATTTTGGTATAGATGACATAACAGAAATGAAACTAGACAAAGCATGAGAGAGGCCACTTAAAGAAAATGGCTAAACTGAGCTTTAGAAATATAGGACCAAAGTCTCCTCACATTTTTAACCGGGAGAGGAACTTTGTACTGAAGTCAATCCCTTCCTATGACTCCAGTTTCCAGGGGAGGAGCCTTCAGATGTGAATAGCAGTGGCCTGGCTCGTACAAAGGAAAAAGTAGACTCACAAATGGCATCAACTTTATATATTAACAAGATCACCTCCAAGACAGTATCTTGGGTTTTATTCTATAGCTTTAGGTGTACTCTTGATTTAGAGTTAGTAATCAATCATTTTGATCAGGCAGGCATAGGTTTTGGGCATCAACTGTCATCAAAACAATTTATGCAGTCACATATCACTTCAATACTGATGAAATATTTGTTAAAATGCCTACTATATATAAGTCAAAGAAAGTGATTGCTTGAGAGAGTTTTTAGTATATAGAAAATGGTATATTTAGAGCTCCTGTTTCCCCAGTGTATAATACAAGCCAGCACTGTACTTTGGGACTCTATTTGAACAGATCACATTTTTTTTTTCTTTGTACATGGGATTGAATTGAGGACCTTGTGCTTGTGAAGCAGGCACAGTGCCATTGAGCTAAATCCCCAGCCAAGTATTACATAATTTTATTTAGGAACAGATATTCTTCTAAGTGTATATACCATCAATTTAACTGAAAGGTGATAATTAAGAATAAAGATGGTATTGTAAATTGTCTTTTAAAGAGACACAATCCCTGTAAGGCCTTCACTCATTCATTATTTATTTCCTACCTTATTGAAGAGTGGGCATTTCAACAAGTATCTATGGTGTGAGAGGCCTGAAATAGGCTCTAGAAATGTGAAGATGAGAGGAAGAGAACCCCTCCCATGGTGCTTTTCAGGCAATAATGGAGGTTGGGTGTTTGATAGCCATATGATGGCATGTGCCAGGTGCAGCAATACAGGTTGTGTGCAGTGATGCAACAGTTATGGAAGGAGATGCTTGACTAACTGCCTAGTATTCTGTGGTTCCTTCCCAGAGAAAAGTGTTTTGAGGAGGAAGAGCAGAGATTTGATAAACCATGGAGGATGAATCACGGTAGAGGTGGGGAACAGAGTGGTGTTTGATAAATATTTGCTGAGCTGAGTTATAGCAAATTAAATTGGTACAAATGAACATTGTCTATGAGGTGGGGCTTCGGGAGGGGTTACTTGCAGCATGGTCCGCAATGTGCCCCTGCACACAGCTATCTCCACTGAGCCCTGAGACATGCATGATGTGTCCGGGTGGGGGTGGCATAAATGGGCCAATGGAATCAACATCCCAAATTCTTAGGATATAAAATGGTAGGGATTTGACAGGGGCCCAGACAGATGAAACTGCTCCTCCCCCAGGCCAGGTGCACACTGAGGAGAGAGGTGTGTGTGTGTGTGTGTGTGTGTGTGTGTGTGTAGGGGAAGAGGAGAATACTGGAGAATCCCCTCAGCAATTTGAGAGGAAGCTGAGAGTACAGACAGTTTGAATATTGGCTTCTACTTGCTGTTGGACCTGCAGCTCTACAGATGTTTGCAGCCTGTGCGGGTGGGCTGTGTCAGAATCATCCCTGGGGTTCCATTCGGAGTTGAAGTGGAGAGATCAGAAGGCCTGCCACAGAAAGGGGAGCACAGTGAACTCTAGGTTAGGAGACCAGTCATGAATGTTCTGAACATTGTCGGGTGTGTGCCCCAGGGGTGCAGGCACTGGGCAGCCGAGGGAGTGCCAGAGAAAAGCTGTTTCCACTGCAGGAAGTCCTGTGTGCACTCTGAATATGCAGGGCTGGAAGTGGGGGGTGACTTGCCTCCTGCTGGTTGGGAGTGAGGGGTGCTTTGTGAGACACATGGGATTGTGGTCAGGAAGGAAACATCGGGAAGAACTTTAAAG